TATAAGTCGAAAGGAGACTGCGACCATACCCGAGGCCACAACATCTTGGTCTTCACATCTTCAAACGTATCTTTGCTATAAATATTGACTGCGCCTGGTAGTCTCGAAACTCTACTTACATAGGAAAAATAAGGCCTTCCAATACAATTCACCTGTTTGGAGATACAGTTATGAAGGAAATTCAATGGCGTTGTAAAGCCTACTCATCTGGCTGTTGGGAAAATCAACTATCAGTCCTTAAACTAAGTTATGAAGACCAAGATGTTGTGACTTCTATTTTATTCGCAGTCTTATCTCGATGTATAGAAGTAGTCTGACCTCGTTTTCACAACTTTGTCATGATGTCAGTGTGACTTAGTTATATGCACCTATGTCCGAAGTCCTCTGCTAAAGTAGATATCATCATTTCCAGCGTTGGATCGTGGACTCATATGCTAGCGAAAGGTCTGGGAATGTACCAAGTCCATGATCCAAAACTAGAAATTATGATAATTACTATAGCAGAGGACTTTGCACGAGGTGCGTCCAACTAGGTCGCCCTGACAATGATACGAAGTTGCGAAAACGAGATCAGACGACTTATATCAGTCGTGAATTTACCTCAAACAAATTAGGCTAAGTGCTTATCCCGGAATTATTGATAGTTTCAAAGACTGCTTGTGCCAAATATTAGCGTAAAATGACAAAGTCTTACTAATGCCATCTTAGTTAATGGAATCGCTTTTCTATCACGAGTTTTCTTGACTCGTTAGCTTGATTTTTGTTGTGACGATGATATCTTGCTCTGATGATCTTCGTCATATGGCGGACGAAAGCTTAGCACCTTTTTACCAGAATCGAAGAAGGTTAACTCGGAACCGGCTTCAGCATGAATCTTCCAGTAAAGCCAATCGACAGCTGGTCAAGCGGAATCTGCCCTCGTCTTCTGGTGGAACCAAGCTTCGAATCTCTTCATCCAGCACTTTCACTCGAAATGGAAGTAAGCTCAACAATTATGAAACAAGAGATTCCTTGAAACCCAACTTTTCATCGCGACTTCTATCAGTCGTGGAGTCACCTCAAACAACCTAGACTAATTTCTTATCCCGGAATTATTGATAGTCTTAAAGACTGCTTGTACCAAATATTAGCGTAAAATCACAAAGTCTTACTAATGCCATCTTGGTTCATGGAATTGCTTTCCTATCACTATTGGCGATAAGTTGATTAGTTGCCCAGTCGTATTTGGAAGATTTGTGTTTCATAGACCGGATAAAGCTGTGCCAAATTCGAGTGTGTTCTAGGAATATAAAAAAGGGGATTTTAAAGAGTTCTCCTCGATAAAATTTGTCTATTTCTACAAGGTGAAGCGATACAAACGGTATTTCGCCTGAGCGGTTTTATACCTGAGTGTTGCCTCATTTAGTACGGATCAGTGTGTCAATGTTGTTCCATTTATTCCCTTGTCTGTCAACCCTCAGTCCCATTGACGGCTTGTCTGCACTCACCGTCGAGCAGTCTCATGCGCAAATATGAGGCTATAAGGCAGATGAGTCTACCAGAATCGGGCGTCTACGCACCGAGTTATGCCAACTACATACAGTTAATCACAGTCTCTCTCATCTCTCCACTCCAAACCAGAATCTTGCTTGCGTGTGTGTGTGTTTGTGTGCTCGAATATGCCTATGTACACTTGCTAAATCACATTAGGTAGCGCCTTGTAAACTAAGCAACCAGCGCACGAACAGCCCACCCCACCGGTCGACCGTTTCGCTCGACCGAGTCGCAACTATGCTGCTCTGATTTGAGTAGACGCAAGAAGCAACCTGGTATATGTGCTTCAGTTTGTGTGTGTGTGTCTCTTTCTCTCTGTATGTGTGTATCACTGTAGGAACGTGATTTCCCCTATCTTGGTGTCGCCTGTCCGACTGGGCGGCGTTGGACGCGATGACTTATCTGATTATCCAATTAGCCCAATCGGACCCTGCTCGTCCGATGGACTGAGTCCGGTAGAGGAGTTCTGGCAAACTCTCATGTAGGGGAGACAGGAGGCCATTGTGGTTAGGGGGTTGTGGTTTGGGTGTCAGGCCAAGGCAGCCTAGGGCTAGCCGTCTCCCCGTCCGTGTTTGCTATACTAGGAAACGAATATCAAGGATGGCAATCCATGTAAGCTCATCTCAGAAAACTGGTATTGTTTAGTTTTATTTTCATTTTTTCCATTCTCCCCTCTCACCTTCACTTCAAATGGCTTAGTTACCCTATTTCTGAGATTTTTTTCTTTACTCCTCTGCTCGCCATCTTTCGACCACTTGGCCATCATTCACGAATTAAATGACTTAATTCCTTTTTACATTTTTTGCCTTATTGCCGTACCAATCCTAACCATGTCTAGCCTATTTGTTGCCCACTTACCCGACCGACTCTCAGCCTCAACATCCACTCCCATTCATCCTTCTATATTTTTCATGTCTGATCTACAATATGCCCCGGAGGGCAAATTGTCCTCTCTTTATGCTCCCCTTCTTTATCTGCTTATGCGTGTAGCTAACTGCATGTGTGCGTATGTCGTAGGCCCACCAATGGGCTTGTGAGTTCTTACAGGGACAAAAAATCATATGAATATTTAGACCTCATTTTGCAAGAATCAAAAGGTCATATGACCTCCACAATAATTTCCTCCAGCCCTCGTTCGCCCATCTTCGTCTCACCCCATCTGTGCTTCGCTTCCACTTATTTCTTTACTGCATTTCTGCATCTTCGCATATGCCCACAACCACACCAACACACGCACACAAGACTGCTCTTCTCATGACCACTCATCTGTACCACCCCTTTGTCCACGCTCGCTGTCGTCTGTTCACTTCGCGACAATGAGCAATCCCAGGAGCCTCTTGTCTCGCTTCGTTCAACCCGTTCTCTTGGTAGCTTAGGTCTCTTGTAGCTCTTTCATATCCTCCGCCTAAATCTAGGCCTTCTACCCGGATAGTTCGGTCAACTGCCTCCAGAGAGGTAGAATGGAGTGCAAAGAGAGAGAATGGCGGGGTGGGAATGACAGAGAGAATGACAGGGAGAGAAATAAGGCCTGGCTTGTAGCGGAATTCCTTGTGGAAATCACCATTCAAATAAAGGGCATGTTATTTGCTCTTGGTGTTAGCCCAACAAGCCATAGGCACACTCGATTGGACGGCTCGGTTAAACTGTACGCATCTGGTCACACCGACTGGCTCTCTTGGCACATGGTCTGCTTGCGGTGGCCAAACTGACGACTGTCTTCACGTCGTCAATGACTGCTGTACACATACTCGGGTTCTCCGCTCCCATCGAGCGGCCACCCCTTGCACGGCAGAGACCTTCGTAAGGGAGGTGTCCACCTGTTATAGATAGACGTTTTACAATAGATAGACAATATACAATATAGGAATGATACTGTGGCTATCCAGAAATATCGCTTCTGGATGAAATTTCCCCCTCAGAATGATTGCAGACATGAAGACCAAAATAGCGCGTTTTCTATTTTGACCGCATTCCTCGTTTACTGTATATAAATGGTTTGATCTTGGTTTAGAAACTTGATCGTATCGTCAGGATGACATAGCTCCGTATAATTGGTACATTCCCAGACGTTTTGCCGGTATCCTAGTCGGCGTCGTCAGTGCGTCTTGCCAGGTTTGGCAACAAGCTACAACTCGTGAGTGAGAGAAGTAGTAGTCGAATACAAATAAGTTAAAAGTTATGAGACTGAAGAAATAGGTTACCAGGTTAGAAGGTGGGTAGATGTAAGATGATAGAAAAATGAGATACTACAACCGTTCGACAGAAAGATGGTCCACAGATTGATTTCAAATGGTCTCTTTGACGAGTTGTAGTTTGGTGCTAAAAATGACAGGACTCATCGACGATGCCGGCAAACTTATCGGAATGTACCGAGTCCAAAACTCGATTCTGGGAAGTATGAATACTGTTGCGCTTACTTCAATTTCGAGTGAAAGTGTCGGGTGAAAGTGTTACCCAACACTTTCACTCAAAATGGAAGTAGACTCAACAATTATGAAACAAGAGATTCCTCGAAACCCAACTATTCTTCGCATATATATGTAGTATGAATACTATTATGTCAGTGAACCTTGTATAAGGTGTACTCATCTAAGTCGCCCTGACAACACGATCTGAGTTAAACCCTGTACTTAGTACATTTTCAGATTTATCGCTAGCATCTTTCTCAGCATCGCCAGTGAGTCTCGTCAGTCCTAACACAAAACTACAACTCGTCAAAGGGACGAGTGAATTTCAGCCCTTCACCGACTTTCCGTCGAATTGCCCTTTGTCTTTATACAGGTAGATTTGATCAGATGCTTAAAATTACCATAAATACTCTGGCAGAGGAAGCAGGACAGGACACACATATATATATGTATATGGATGGCCTACCAATATTTCGTTATAATCTCTTGAAAAGACACATGGATAAGAATTTTTGAAATTGTCTGAGGCCAAATTTTCCCTAAATTGAGTTGCATAAATTGATGTTGGTAATGATGCTGATGCTGTTGAAGCTGAGGAACCTTAGAGTTGTGACTAGATTTGTTCTAACAAGTCCTTTGACTGTCGGCCGGTAAGTCCAGTTTACAAATGCCTTCCACTCGTCTCTTCAAACTGAATGAAATATATGTGAATTTTCGAAACTAATTTTTTTTCATCTATTTTAAAAATTGTTTTGATGCTATCCGTCCTTCAGATAATGAGTAGATGATTTTATTTAAAAAGCTGTAGTATTACCTGCAAGTAGTAAGATTATTTAGGCAATATATTTGTAAGAAAAAGAGTTACAGGTCACATAAAATGATGTTGATGATATTATTTAAATTTTTGCACAATGAACTGAGCCGATCTGGCAATACTATGGATTTTCACTTGGCTTTGTCTTCCAAAATGATTTCTAATTCGGTCAGGACAGAAGTTTAGACATATTTTCATTTTTTGCATAAGTCCCATCCAAATTTGCAACAGGTTAACACTTTACTTTAATTACGGATGCTACTGGATTATAGGACAGATTTTAATTTTAGGGCTGTCTAGGCCTACCCCAGTTAACGAGTATAATGGGCTTGCCGACAAGGCAAACTTTTATTTGAGATTACAATCTTACAAGTTGCTTGATCCGAAATATATAGGTTTAGAGACACTCAATTGATCTTGCATAGAAACGTAAGTCCTCTTAGGTCGCACAAATAGTTAATTCAGCGTATTTATGAAATTTCGATCCCAGTTAGCGTAAATTAATAGTCTCGACACTTACACATTGCTTATGTAGAAACGTCTATTTCAAGGACTGTCTTGCCTTATAATTGTTGAGCTCATTTTCATTTTAAGGGAAACTGCACGATAAAGGCATTCATACATCTGTATATACATGAGAGCACATAAGCACACACAAGCAGACATATGAGCCTGCTGCAAGGTTAGCATTAGGAATAAGCTGGTGAGTTTTCTTGACTTATTAGCTTGGAAATGGTTGTGAGGATAATACGAATAACACAAACTGAGCAGGCATTCACCAGAATAGAAGAAGAATGTATCAAGTCTACTGTCAGATGCTGGGAATCATGACAACTACTATGGCAGACGACGTCGGTCTAGGTGCGTTCTACATAGTCGCCCTGACAACAAGACCAAGTTGCGACAACGAGGTCAACCCACTTTTATAGTGTTGGTTCGACCCTGTTTCCGCAACTTCGACGGGGTGTAAGAGAGACTTTGTGGAACGTACATAGTCACGTATCCTCTGCCACAGTATTCGTGATATCCAGCATTGGATCATTGGTTGGGTACATTCCAAAACGTTTCGCCGGCATCGGCGGTGAGGCGCCATTGTGAGCACAGAGTTACAACTTATCAACGTGACAAGTGAAGGAAATCCCTAATGGCCAATTTCCTGTTCAACCGTTGTGGCATCACTCCTCGCCCCTATTTTTTATTTTACCCCCTACAGCCGCATCTCTTTCTCTCAACCCCACTTCATATGGCCCATCCACTTATTCACACAATTCTGTACTCTCGCTTCCTCCAATGTCGCATAAGAATGTGTCGCTACAAGTGGGTTTAGTGGAGCGTAACCATCTCCACCGCCGGTACCAGATGCCGTTTGCAGGGCTCCTGACTTAAATTCTTCCCCACCCTTTTTTTCCTACCTGTTTGTCAATTAGCCGCCACTAATCATCAAAATCGGTGTTTGGCTCTGAAATCTTGCTGCCTAAGAACCTTCAATTCCCGTCCTCGATTACGCCATATTCGAGGAATTAGAGTAGATGATTCACATGTCAGTGTCTGGGAATCTTCCTCTCCATAGGCTTCAAACCCGTGACTCAATTAACCTCTCTCTCATCCCAATCCATATTGTGCCTTATTCATTAGAACCCTGTGTCAGACCTAAGTCATAACCGTTGGTGTGAGAATGCACCACTTCCTTTTTTTCCTTTTGAATTGCGAAAAGTACATTTCTCCCGTCTCTTAAGTTGACATTCCCATCTAATCCTATGGTACTGGTATTATGTCCTGTCTGTACGTGTTGGTTGGTATCCCCCGTGGTCAAAGCCTGTCATCAGTCACCTCCCCTTCCGACGCAGATATGAAAATTACACACGACACTCACGCACAAACACTGGTTACCTCTACCTAGCCCACCTATACCTTTAGCCATTAATTTCATATCCCTTATTTCACAGGTAAACATCCTGGCTAAAAGTTATTTGACGTTGTTTTTCATAACTCGGTCGTATTTGTAGGAAGACTTAGAGGAACGCACCTTGTCCGGAGTCCATTGTATGCATCATCATTTCCAGAGTAGGA